TTGCAGCATTTTGCAACAACTTGCAGCATGTTGCAGCATTTTGCAGCATGTTGCAAGCTGGTCGCGCATAGGGCAAGTGCGCGAGGGACTCGGACCGGAAAAACAAAGCCGAGCAACACGAGCAGAGCCGACAAGAAGAAAAAGAAACATTGATCAATTAGTACAATCAATTATCATCCCATACATCATATCCAAAAACCCATTATTCATCTCAGGAAGCCTAGAAACAGTGCTTCAATCTGACAAAGCTAAAGTAGATAAGCAATCCTAAAGGCGCTGCAGACAGTGCAATTAGACTAGGCATAACGCGCAAACGTGTAAGAAAGAAGTAGAAGTAGTATCCAAATAATATTCCAGGCTGTACTGTACTCTATAGTGCTAGAGTGGGTTGTTATGGGCCATAATAAAGTTTGTTGTGGTGTGGTCTTGGCAAAAGTGAGCAACTCAGGTGTGCGAGCAACTGCCAATCCTCGACACACTGATGCGGCTGGTGCCAATCCCCGACACACCGATGCGGCTGATGCCAATCCTCGACACACCGATGCGGCTGATGCCAATCCTCGACACACCGATGCGGCTGATGCCAATCCCCGACACACCGATGCGGCTGATGCCAATCCCCGACACACCGATGCGGCTGATGCCAATCCCCGACACACCGATGTGGCTAGAGAGGTGGAACAGACGCAACTAACCATAATTTAAACATGTTTTACACAACGCATGCTAGAGCAAACTGCATGCAAATTAGCATAAAGGTGCACTTACATTAGCTATACATTTTTTTAAAAAAAGAATTTAAGAAACACATAAGGTGACAGAGAAACAGCGTTACTGGGGTTTATCCGAAGAAATTCTGACTAACTAGCGCGTCTAAAAGAGGAGATTCTGCTCAACTTTTCGTTCTGCAAACCCGAATATAATAAGCAGAGCAAGCTCTGCTAATAAACTAGCTTTATATGTTTAAGAAGTGTTATTTAAAGCTTAAAGTAATATTTAAGTGTAGTATAACTATAAAAAAGCTTTTTATAAAAGTTCTAGAGTAATTTAAAGTAAGTTTAGCCTTATAAAGAATATTAAAGCTAAGTAACGTACCTAACAGGTTGGCCGGCCACACGGGTTAGCCGGCCACTTTTGCTAAGCCCCCACTAAAACCACCCTATTCTCTTGCAAAACAGCCTACTTTAGCCCTATATAAAGTAATACAACATAAGATATTATTTAGAGTCTACTTCTACTACTTACTTACACATACGCAAGTTATGCCTAGTTTAATTACACTACTTACATTACCTTTAACTTAGCTTACCTTCTTTAGCGCGCACCTGCGTCTTTAGCTTCTTTCTATTACTACACGCTCTAAACTCCTTTAGAGCAGTTAAACAAGCTCTATTTTTAACTATTAAAGTCTTTTCTACCTAAATTTACTTTCTTTTATGCAGTCTATGTTGCATAGTAGCTTTATTTGCTGCTTAAAGCTTTATAATCTTATAGCCTACTTTGTTATGTTAATGCTCTAGATAACTATTATCTACTTTCTATTACTTTACTATATTACTTTTAGCTGTCTTTATCTCTTTAAAGCTATAATAACTGCTCTAGTTAATATCTAGCCTATTATAAAGCCTAACTTATTAAAGTTATACTTGTTTTTATTCTAGATACTGTACTTAGCTTTTATGTTAGCTACTAGGTAAAACTAGCCTTAGATAACCTCTAGATTCTTATAAAGCGCTCTTTTATAATTATACTTATAATTAAACTTTATTATAAACTTAGGGCAGTGCTTAACCTATATACTAGTCTAGTTTAAGCTAACCTAGCCTAGATTACACTCTATAGGTAAGGAATTAGCTATATTAGCTACAGCTGTAAGCTTAAAAGGAAATCTGCGTGTAATAAGCTTAAGTATGTACTTAACAACTACTTTTTTTTAAGGTTAGTTAGATTCCTTAATTTAGGCTAGCATTCTGCTTATAAAGGCTGTCTAGCGCGTTAATTGCTTAGTGTTGTGTAAGAGACATTATAGATAGCTGTAGTGCGTTGCAAAGAGAGTCTTAAGTCTTATTTAAAAGCCTAAAAAGTAAGCTGTATTTAACGTTTTTTAGAAGATTTAATCTAGTGTTGTTGTTAAGGCATTATGTAGATAGGTAGAGTTTAGTAGGGGCTTAGCAAAAGTGGCCGGCTAACCTGTGTGGCCGGCCAACCCGTTAGGTACGTTATAGCATCTAAGATAATAACATGTATAACTTTAGTAAAATAAGCTTTATTATAAGCTAAATATCTATTAACTATACTTATACTTAAAACTTTACTTTAAGCTTTAAATAACACTTTATAAATATACTAGGCTAGTTTAAGCTAATATAGCTTAAATTACACTTAGCGCGTAAAGAATTAGCTATATTAGCTATAAATGCTATTTAAGAAGAAAATCTTTATGTATAGAGCTTAAGTATAGTCTTAATAATTACCTACTTTTTATTATTACCTAGCCTTTATAAGTTAGCTGTAGAATTAGCTTATAAAAGTTATCTAGCGCTATAGTTATTTATTATTTTTTAAAAAACTTTATATGTAGCTATAGCATGTTTTTTTAAGAGTTTTATGTTTTATTTAAAAGCTTAAAGCATAAGCTGTATTTAACATTCTTTTAGCGCGTCTAAGTAGTGTTATTAGAAATGCATTATTATAGAAAAAGTAGTTTAGTAGAGTCTTAGCAAAAGTAAGCAACTTAGGTGTGTAAGCAACTTGCCTGTGAAGTACGTTAATTTAAATATATAAAGAGAAAATATAAAAGTTAAAATCACTTTTAAAATAAGCTATTAATTATCTAATTTAGATTAGAACTAGTAGAGATAATTAAATTTAAAGTTTTACTACTAATGTATATCTCTTACTATGCTAAGCTTCGCTTTTCTAAGACATTTCTAAAGTAGCGTAGTACGTTATTTATATATTACTATTGTACAATATAATATTTATTACAATAGCTAACATGCGCTGCTTAATAATCGACTGCGATAATTTTTTAGGGTGGTTTTACTGTTTTCGCGATTCTTGGTTGAGTTTTGTCCCTGCTTATCGTCTGCTGTGCCTGACTTTGCCAAGACAGCTCCGGGATTTGCCGTCCTCCGTCCCCTCTGCAAAAATGCTCAACATAGCTCTTCACCCACACGACACCATGACTTTTCCCGGCGGAGGCATGTCAGGCGGCGGCTTCGGGAACCAAAATGCAGGAATGACGGAGCAGGAGCAGCAGATGGTTAAATACGTATGCCAACGTTCTTGATGTGAACCGACATATACTGATACAAACAGATGCAAATGGGTATGGAATCCTGCGCAGGAAAGACCATCATGGCTGGTGTGATGGGCGGAGGTCTCGGTGCCATGTTTGGGCTCTTCATGGCTAGTGTATGCCTACCTCTTCCACCTACCACCCCTAAACGACTATTCAATGACCCGCACGAATATTAACAATAATGAACATCTAGATGCGCTATGATACCCCCATGTCCCAACCCCTCCCTGTCCACAACCCCAACGGCACAACTGTTGCTGCCGCGCCAAAGCCCATCTCTGACCTACCCCTCCGCCAACAGCTCAAAGTCGGACTCCGTGATATGTACCGCTCGTCGCTATCGTCTGGTCGCAATTTTGCGGTCGTAGGTGCGGTTTTCTCTGGCACAGAATGTGCGATTGAGGGATTGAGAGCGAAGAATGATCTCTGGAATGGCGTTGCGGGGGGGTGTATAACGGGAGGTGTGTTAGCAAGGAAGGCGGGGCCGCAGGCCGTGGCGGTGGGTTGTGCGGGTTTCGCGGCTTTTTCGGCTGCGATTGATGCTTACATGGTAAGTTTTTTTTGTTTAGCTTCTGTAGGGTTGAGAAATGGGAGGTGGGAAGTGAGAAGGCTTATGAATTGTGCTAATGGGGAGCAGAGGATGCCTGAGGATGAACGTAGCAGACCAATCGCTTGATTGACTCTCCTCTCTACCTCTATTCTTCTGATCTAAGGTAGACGAGTTGACGTTAAGACCACGTGCTTATTTCTCTTGTCGCTAACACTGGATACTTTGCAGCAGAGGGCTCCTTTACTCTTTCTGTACGTTACATTTGATTCCCTGCTGTGGCCGTGAAGCACTAGGCCTTTGCATTAGGCGGCGTTGTTTAGAAATCTCAACAATCGAAGGTAACAATTAGATGGCTTAGAGAATATTACATGTGTTTTCGCATGTGTTTAGATAAAACATAGTCTCTAATTTAACTTACTTTATAAACAAGCTGCGTATATAAGTAAGCTGCGCACCTTACTAACTTTTCGCAACGCGTAACCTTTTTAGCATAATGTTACGAGGCGGTTACGTTGGTAGACTAAGATGCTTACCGTGGTGATATGTCATGCACGAAGGGTTGAAACATGAAGCGAAGGTAAGTGTAAAAGACAAATATGTAAAGGGATAGTATTAAGTGTTAAGAAGGTGTGGTGGTAGAAGCAATAGATAAGTAACTTTTAATACTAGTTATTATAACTATTATAAGTGTTTAAAAATTATAATTAATTAACTATAAATTATTAAAAGAGTAATTTATAAAAACTATATAACTGTTATAGTTATGTCACAACTATCTAACCACCGAGTACGCGAAGAGCTTAGCACGGGGTATATAGGCTTCTTAGCCTCTGTACCTCTTCATCTAGCCCTAAGGTTTACTCTTGTTCTACTTTTCTATCCTGCATTCCCTCTTTGTGCTTTATGCTTCCTATGTAATAACGTACTTTACAAGCAAGTTGCTTACACACCTAAGTTACTTACTTTTGCTAAGACTCTACTAAACTACTTTTTCTACACTAATGCATTTCTAATAACACTACTTAAACATACTAAAAGAATATTAAATATAGCTTATACTTTAGACTTTTAAATAAAACATAACACTTTTAAAGTAACATACTTGTAACGGCGCAGGCAAGACAATGGGTCTGAATGCGGTATGAATCCACTCAGAGGCATATGGGAGTGCGTGGGGACTCAGAGACCTGGGAATACCAATGACAATGTAACGGCGCAGGCAAGACAATGGGTCCGAATGCGGTATGAATCCACTCAGAGGCATATGGGAGTGCGTGGGGACTCAGAGACCTGGGAATACCAATGACACCTATAGGCCTTGTACGTAGGATATTAGAAAACTACCGAGCTAGCTACAGGGACGAGGTGCGACTAAATACATGAGGGAATAGGGGTAACAGCAGGGGTCGGGGCCAGGTCGAGGTCGGGGCCGATACGAGGGCCTTCCGGAGGTTCCGGGCGACTTGAGATGGAACGATTCATGAGGATCGTTACAATACTATAGCTATAACGTACCTAACAGGTTGGCTGGCTACACAGGTTAGCTAGCTACTTTTGCTAAGCCTCTACCACACTCTACTTATCTACACAATGCTTTAATAACAACACTAGATTAAATTGTCTAAAGAATATTAAATACAGCTTACTTTTTAGGCTTTTAAATAAAACTTAAAACTTTTTTTATAACACGCTGTAGCTATTTATAATATTTTTTATATAACACTAAGTAATTAACACACTAGATAGCCTTTATAAGTAGAATGCTAGCTTAAATTAAGAAATTTAACTAAGCTTAAAAAAAAAGTTGTTGCTAAGTATATACATAAGCTTATTACATATAAATTTTCTTTTAGGCTTATAGCTATAGCTAATATAGCTAATTCCTTGCGCGTAAAGGATAATCTAGGCTAGGTTAGCTTAAACTAGCCTAGTATGAAAGTTAAGCACTACTTTAAGTTTATAATAAAGTTTAATTATAAGTATAATTATAAAAGAGTGCTGTATAAAAATCTAAAAGTTATTTAAAGCTAGTTTTACCTAGTAGCTAATATAAAAGCTAAGTATAGTATCTAAAATAAAAAGATATATAACTTTAATAAGTTAAGCTTTATAATAAGCTAGATATTAACTAAAGCAGTTATTATAGCTTTAAAAAAATAAAAATAGCTAAAAGTAATATAGTAAAGTAATAAAAAGTAAATAATAGTTATTTAAAGTATAAATATAATAAAGTAAGCTATTTTACTTTTTATTTTTTTTAAAGGCTGCTATTACCTTTTTATCTAGTATAAAAAAATTACTTTAAAACTAAGTTATTATAGTCTTTAAAAATAGCTAGATAATAAATAAGCTTAAGCTATAGTAGTTAAAGCACTTTAATTAGCATATAAAAAAGAAGTTATAAGCACTTATTAGCTTTTTATTATTAATAGCTATAAAAGCTATAACTTGCTTAATTTTTAGTAATACTATAAAAAAAATAATTTATTACTATTTATATGCTTCTACACTTATTATACTTTTTATAGCTTTTTAATATAAGTTATTTTACTTTTCTAAAAAAAGTATATAAGCGCTAAGCTAAAGATCTTATATATAACTAAATTACTTATATTATAAAACTTAAGTTTTTACTATGCTTTATACACACTTATAATATAGTAATTACTTTTAGTAATATCTAAAAAAGGTTTTAAGGCGCTAGTTTAGTCTTATTTAACTTAAAATAAGTTAAAATAGCCTTTAACATTTAGTTATGTACTTTATTACTACTACTACTTATTAATAATAAGCTTTAGTAGTTATAAACGTTAAGTAATACTTTTAAATTTAAGTTATAATTAATGCTTATAAAAGTAAAATTTTAGAAGTATATAAATAGCTTACTAACATTTATATTAAAAGCTTTTAAAAAAGTTTTAAAAAGAGTAGTAATTATTACGCATAAGCTAGTATTAGCATATAAAGAGATTATAAAGCTTTAAGTAGTAAATAAGGCTACTACATAATATAAATTACATAAAAAAAAAAGTAGATTTAAGTAAAAAAGGCTTTAATAGTTAAAGATAAAGCTTGTCTAACTACTCTAAAAAAGTTTAAAGCATATAGTAACAAGAAAAGGCTAAAGATATAAGTGCACGCTAAAAAAAAGTAAGCTAAGTTAAAAGTAATATAAGTAGTGTAATTAGACTAGGCATAACTTACATACATGTAAGTAAGTAGTAGAAGTAAACTTTAAATAATATCTTATGTTATATTACTTTATATAGAGCTAAAGTAGGCTATTTTGCGCTAGAATAGAGTGGTTTTAGTAGAGGCTTAGCAAAAGTAGCCGGCTAACCTGTGTGGCCAGCCAACCTGTTAGGTACGTTATATAAAGTTTTTTTTAAAAAAATAATAAATAACTAATACACTAAATAACTTTTATAAGCTAATTTTATAGCTAACTTATAAAAGCTAGAAAATAATAAAAAGTAAGTAATTATTAAGCACATACTTAAGCTATATGCATAAGGATTTTCCTCTTAGCTAGAAGCTATAGCTAATATAGCTAATTCTTTACACACTAAGTGTAATTTAGGCTATGTTAGCATAAACTAGCTTAGTATGTTTATAAAGTGTTATTTAAAGCTTAAAGTAACATTTAAGTATAGGTATAATTATAAAAAAGCTTTTTATAAAAGTTTTAAAGTAATTTAAAGCTAGTTTAGCCTTATAAAAAATATTAAAGCTAAGTAACGTACCTAACAGGTTAGCCGGCCACACAGGTTAGCTAGCTACTTTTGCTAAGCCTCTACTACACTCTACCTATCTACATAATGCCTTAATAATAACACTTGATTAAATCTTCTAAAGAATGTTAAATATAGCTTACTTTTTAAGCTTTTAAATAAGACTTAAAACTCTTCTTACAACACATTACAGCTATTTATAATGTCTTTTACATAACACTAAGTAATTAACACACTAGATAGTGTTTGCATTGATGACTCGGATGCATCGTCAGCATGGTCACACGATGGTCGGATGCATCGGCAGATGCATCAGCACCATAGTCTGTTGCCAAGACCCACCCACTTATTTCGCATATATATAGACTCCTGCAAAGGACTCCTCTAGAAATACATACAATGCAGTTCCTCATGTCTCTAGTGCCTTACATAGCTTCACAGATAGCCTTTATAAGTAAAATGCTAGCCTAAATTAAAAAATCTAACTAAGCTTAAAAAAAAGTAGTTATTAAGTATATACTTAAGCTTGTTACACACAGATTTCTTTTTAGGCTTATAGCTATAGCTAATATAGCTAATTCCTTACACGCAGAGTGTAATCTAGGCTAGGTTAGCTTAAACTAGCCTAGTATGTAGGTTAAGCACTGCCTTAAGTTTATAATAAAGTTTAATTATAAGTATAATTATAAAAAAGCACTTTATAAAAATCTAGAGGTTATCTAAGGCTAGTTTTGCCTAGTAGCTAACATAAAAGCTAAGTATAGTATCTAGAATAAAGATATGTATAACTTTAATAAGTTAAGCTTTATAATAGGCTAGATATTAACTAGAGCAGTTATTATAGCTTTAAAAAGATAAGAACAGCTAAAGGTAATATAGTAAAGTAATAAAGAGTAGATAATAGTTATCTAGAGCATTAATATAATAAAGTAGGCTATTTTACTTTTTATTATTTTTAAGGGCTGCTATTACTTCTTTGCCTAGTATAAAAAGAAGAATCTACTTTAAAACTAGGTTATTATAGTCTCTAAGAGTAGCTAGATAATAAATAAGCTTAGGCTATAGTAGTTAAAGCACTTTAATAAGCATATAAAAAAGGTTATAAGCGCTTATTAGCTTTTTATTATTAATAGCTATAAAAGCTAACGTACCTAACAGGTTGGCTGGCTACACAGGTTGGCTGGCTACACAGGTTGGCTAGCCACACAGGTTAGCCGGCTACTTTTGCCAAGCCCCTACTAAAACCACCCTATTCTAGCGCAAAACAGCCTACTTTAGCCCTGTATAAAGCAATACAACATAAGATATTATTTAGAGTCTACTTCTACTACTTTCTTATACATATGTAAGTGATGCCTAGTCTAATTACACTGCTTATATTACCTTTAACTTAGCTTACCTTCTTTAGCGCGCACCTATGTCTTTAGCTTCTTTCTATTACTATGCGCTTTAAACTTCTTTAAAGCAGTTAGACAAGCCTTATCTTTAACTATTAAAGTTGTTTTTACCTAAATCTACTTTCTTTTATATAATCTATGTTGTGTAGTAGCCTTATTTACTGCTTAAAGCTTTATAATCTTCTTTTGCGCTAACACTAGCTTATGCGCAATAATCACTG